GAACGTGCAAAAACAGAGGACAAGTGACCTTTGAGGTAACAGTAAGATAGAACCAGCACCATTACTTGTGCTTGTTAGCGGTGCTGCTGCTGCAGGTGCTGGTGTTGGTACTGCTGGTGCTGCTGCAGCTGTAGGTGCTACTACTGCTGCAAGTGCTGCGGGTGCTGCTGCTGCTGTAGGTGTAGGTGCTGCTGTTGCTACTGCTGCTGCTGCAGGTGCTGGTGCTACAGGTGCAGGTGCTGCTGCTGCAGGTGCTTCCTCTGTTGCAGGCGCTGCTGCTGCAGGTGCTGCTGCAGGTGCTGGTGCTGCTGCTGTTGTAGGTGCTGTGGCTATTGGTGCTACTGCTGCAAGTGCTGCTGTTGCAGGTGCTGGTGCTACTGCATGTGCTGCTGCTGAGGGTGCTGCTGCTGCAGGTGCTACTGCTGAGGGCGCTGCTGCTGCTGGTGCTGTTGCAGGTTCTGGTGCTGTTGCAGGTTCTGGTGCTGCTGCTGAGGGTGCTGCTGCTGTAGGTACTGCTGCTGCATTATTACTGTTGCTGCTGCTGCTGGTATAAGTGCTGCTGCTACTGAAGGTGCTGCTGCTCTGGTGTTGGTGGTGGTGCTGCTGCAGCAGCAGCGCTAAACCCTTAAGGGTCACACTGAATCCTGGTAATGGGAGGCTATAAAGTTTGATCTGTGGAAGGTGATAGTAGCTCAGAACCATCACCAAGGTACCATCCTGGAATCACTAGTTCACTATCACCAAGGTACCATCCTGGAATCACTAGTTCACTATCACCAGGGTACCATCCTGGAATCACCAGTTCACTATCACCAAGGTACCATCCTGGAATCACTAGTTCACTATCACCAAGGTACCATCCTGGAATCACCAGTTCACTATCACCAAGGTACCATCCTGGAATCACTAGTTCACTATCACCAAGGTACCATCCTGGAATCACTAGTTCACTATCACCAAGGTACCATCCTGGAATCACTAGTTCACTATCACCAAGGTACCATCCTGGAATCACTAGTTCACTATCACCAAGGTACCATCCTGGAATCACTAGTTCACTATCACCAAGGTACCATCCTGGAATCACTAGTTCACTATCACCAAGGTACCATCCTGGAATCACTAGTTCACTATCACCAAGGTACCATCCTGGAATCACTAGTTCACTATCACCAAGGTACCATCCTGGAATCACTAGTTCACTATCACCAAGGTACCATCCTGGAATCACTAGTTCACTATCACCAAGGTACCATCCTGGAATCACTAGTTCACTATCACCAAGGTACCATCCTGGAATCACTAGTTCACTATCACCAAGGTACCATCCTGGAATCACTAGTTCACTATCACCAAGGTACCATCCTGGAATCACTAGTTCACTATCACCAAGGTACCATCCTGGAATCACTAGTTCACTATCACCAAGGTACCATCCTGGAATCACCAGTTACTCTCACAATCATCACTGCTTGACGGGTCATACCGTACCCTCACATACAGTTACTATGGTGGTCGTTATCTCCACTCCCTCATTCAGTTCCTTCTAATTCTCTATTAACCTAAGACTGAAAAAGTACTTTTTTTTACATCCATGCGATGCGTTTGTAGTTTCAGCTTCCATCTACGTCTCTCCTGTACCTGGTTCTTGTATTTACAATAGTCTGTACGCAGTCTTAGTTTCCATCAGTATGTTGTACTTCGTAATTGTGTCTTTCCTAGTTCTTCTCTCTCCCACAGTTATCATGTTCAGTTCCATTAGCATATTCTCTTGGTGTAACACTCTCTGTTCCGAGAATAGATTGATTATAAATTTTTGGGCCTTGGTCTGGTGAGGAATTAACACTAATGTTTCATATGCAATGACTGGCCTTACTAACGTCGTATACAAGGTCCTTGAAAACTGTTGACATGATTCTCTGGAGATATGTTTTGTATAATGTTTACTCCTAGACCTTTGTATTTCTTTGGTATTTGCGGCTTCGCTCCTAGGTTATGCCCTGTTTTTGCTTTTTTCCCCTTTCTTAATCTACAAAGACCTGGCATTTGTTGGGACTGAGCCTTCCTGGAACTGATGTTTGGAGGTCCCCCGTCCCCTTGTTACCCTGACTCATCCTCATAATGCAGATAACAATACAAACCAGATCTTTGAATTATATCTTGTGGAACAAACAAAAATGATGATGAAAGTTGTTAAAGTAGAAAATGTGGAATAACTACAAACAAATATCAACATTCCTCAATTAGACAAAGGAAACTAACATGATGTTTATCAGTGATAAATTCCAACTCTTGAGATGCAGAAAGAACGAAGAGCACAAACAAGCAGAGGAGCAAAATACAGTTAGCTTTTTAGAACGAAATGAAATGATAAAAGCATTTAAAAATAATCATATCAGACGACGTTATTAATTTAAAAAAACACGGTAAAATAAATGTACCAGGAGTCAGGAAAATGATGAGTTGAATAATGAGAACTTACAGCTGCATCCAAGACAAGAATGGTATCAGAAAATGTACAGAGAACATTTAAACTAATGAGCACGCTTTAAAATAGCACCTGGAATGTTCACTCTGGAATGGAGAAGAGAGTCGTATGCCAAACATTGTATAAATGGAAAATAATTAAGGATCAGATCGAAATTCTACAAAACTACCATAACCTCTTGGAGTGAGAGATATGCGGGGAATTGTAAAATAAATCCGATGAAAAGCAAAGGCGCTGTGGACACTCTAAGAGAACACTGTATCAACATCCGTGGGTCGACACTATAACTTACTGCAAACAAGTATGAGAAAACTGCCATAAGAAAAGTAGAAGCTTTCATAGATTGCTGTAAGGGGTATTATAAGAGGTCTAAATAGACCTGCTGGCTGTGGGCAACAACAGCCTGGGTTATCAGACAGTCCACAGAGAAGTTTGGGTTAAAGCTGCCCTGTGAGACTAGAACTGATGAAGACGAGTTCTGTCATAACAGGTTCTGTCTGAGGTCTGTCACAACAGGTTCTGTCACAACAGGTTCTGTCACAACAGGTTCTGTCACAACAGGTTCTACCACAGATTCTGTCATAACAGGTTCTGTCACAGCAGGTTCTACCACAGATTCTGTCATAACAGGTTCTGTCACAACAGGTTCTACCACAGATTCTGTCATAACAGGTTCTGTCACAACAGGTTCTACCACAGATTCTGTCATAACAGGTTCTGTCACAACAGGTTTTATCATAGATTCTACCACTGGTTCTGTCATAGCAAGTTCTTTTACAACAGGTTCTTTTACAACAGGTTCTGTCACAACAGGTTCTGTCACAACAGATTCTGTCACAACAGGTTGTTACAACAGGTTCTGTCATAGCAAGTTCTGTCACAACAAGTTCTGTCACAACAGGTTCTGTCACAACAGGTTCTGTCATAACAAGTTCTGTCACAACAGGTTCTGTCATAAGTTCTGTCACAACAGGTTCTGTCATAAGTTCTGTCACAACAGGTTCTGTCACAACAGGTTCTGTCATAAGTTCTGTCACAACAGGTTCTGTCATAAGTTCTGTCACAACAGGTTCTGTCACAACAGGTTCTGTCATAAGTTCTGTCACAACAGGTTCTGTCACAACAGGTTCTGTCACAACATGTTCTGTCATAACAAGTTCTGTCACAACAGGTTCTGTCATAAGTTCTGTCATAAGAAGTTCTGTCACAACAGGTTCTGTCATAACAAGTTCTGTCACAACAGGTTCTGTCACAACAGGTTCTGTCACAACAGGTTCTGTCATAAGTTCTGTCACAACAGGTTCTGTCATAAGTTCTGTCACAACAGGTTCTGTCATAAGTTCTGTCACAACAGGTTCTGTCACAACAGGTTCTGTCATAACAAGTTCTGTCACAACAGGTTCTGTCATAAGTTCTGTCACAACAGGTTCTGTCATAAGTTCTGTCACAACAGGTTCTGTCACAACAGGTTCTGTCATAACAAGTTCTGTCACAACAGGTTCTGTCACAACAGGTTCTGTCATAAGTTCTGTCACAACAGGTTCTGTCACAACAGGTTCTGTCACAACAGGTTCTGTCATAACAAGTTCTGTCACAACAGGTTCTGTCACAACAGGTTCTGTCATAACAGGTTCTGTCACAACAGGTTCTGTCATAGCAAGTTCTGTCACAACAGGTTCTGTCACAACAGGTTCTGTCACAACAGGTTCTGTCATAACAGGTTCTGTCACAACAGGTTCTGTCATAACAAGTTCTGTCACAACAGGTTCTGTCACAACAAGTTCTGTCACAACAGGTTGTGTCACAACAGGTTCTGTCATAACAAGTTCTGTCACAACAGGTTCTGTCACAACAAGTTCTGTCACAACAGGTTCTGTCACAACAGGTTCTGTCATAAGTTCTGTCACAACAGGTTCTGTCATAAGTTCTGTCACAACAGGTTCTGTCATAAGTTCTGTCACAACAGGTTCTGTCACAACAGGTTCTGTCACAACAGGTTCTGTCATAAGTTCTGTCACAACAGGTTCTGTCATAAGTTCTGTCACAACAGGTTCTGTCATAAGTTCTGTCACAACAAGCTCTGTTACAACAGGTTCTGTCACAGCAGGTTCTGTCACAACAGGTTCTATCACAGCAGGTTCTTTCATAACAGGTTCTGTCTCAGGTCACTGTTAAAGTATCGTTGAAAATGTTACTGTTATGTATTACACTGACATCTCTTGCATTTTGTCATTAATATTACTTAACACAAAAAAATATATTGTGAAGTGTGATGTCACTACGATTTAAGAGCTGATGTCACTACGATGTAAGAGCTGATGTCATTTAAGAGACCACTAACTGATGTCCTTCTCTCTTATCTTTCCTGCTGCCCACCCATCACCTGCTGCTGCCTACCCATCACCTGCTGCTGCCTACCCATCACCTGCTGCTGCTCACCCATCACCTACTGCTGCTACCAATCTATCCGACCCATGATGTGTAATCTGCCCCAACACCCCCACCTTCACAGTTACCGCCCAAGATGAACGGCAGTAAGGCTCCATCAGCGCCTCCAGCAGAGGAGATCACTAAAGAAATCCGCAAACTGAGCTTCGATGACAAACAAGCGAGTAACAAAGGTAAGAATGATCTTTTATCTCCTAGTATGTAACTTCCCTCAGGCTATGCATAATAAAGATATTAAATTAATAAATAATAATAATAATTATTATTACTGTATGGTGGGTTGCACAGAAAACAGACAACAGGTGGAGCAGCAGCAGCAGCAGCAGCAGGTGGAACAGTCGTCCTCAGCTCAGTCGCTTCCTCAGGAGTTCGTCGTCAAGTACCTGGGACGTCGCGACGCTGGAGGTCTCTGGGGTATCAAGGTGGGTCTTACCTCGACACTGGAGGTATCTTGGGTATCAAGGTCTGTCTTACCTCAACACTGGAGGTATTTCTGGCATCAAGGTGGGTCTTACCTCGACACTGGAGGTCTCTGGGGTATAAAGGTGGGTCTTACCTCGACACTGGAGGTATCTGGGGTATAAAGGTGGGTCTTACCTCGACACTGGAGGTATCTGGGGTATAAAGGTGGGTCTTACCTCGACACTGGAGGTATCTGGGGTATAAAGGTGGGTCTTACCTCGACACTGGAGGTATCTGGGGTATAAAGGTGGGTCTTACCTCGACACTGGAGGTGTCTGGGGTATAAAGGTGGGTCTTACCTCGACACTGGAGGTCTCTGGGGTATAAAGGTGGGTCTTACCTCGACACTGGAGGTATCTGGGGTATAAAGGTGGGTCTTACCTCGACACTGGCGGTCTCTGCGGTATCAAGGTGGGTCTCCCCTAGACACTGGGATCTCTGGGGTATCAAGGTGGGTCTTACCTCAGCACTGGAGATCTCCGAGGCATCAAGGTGGGTCTTACCTCAACACTGGAGGTCTCTTGGGCATCATATTGGGTCTTACCTCTTGTTTACACTTGAGTGGTCTTCGAAGGAGGACCGAAGGAGCCTGGGTTGATCCTGGAGGTAGGTGGAGACGACGACATGTTTCCTTACACCTGTTGTCCTTGTCCATCTAGCAGCAAACAGGTGTCTGAGCATATAAGCATGACACATGTGCAATAGTTAGGTATCTTTATCCCGAAACGTTTCGTCAGCTGAATACAGATGGACCGATCACATTGAAGATAATGTGATCGGTCCATCAACCCACTGCTGCTACTGTCAATATATTTGTCTCTTATGTATTCGACTGATAAAGCCTACTGTGTAGGCCAAACGTTTAGTAATAAAGATACCTAACTGATGCATATGTCTTACATATATCACTAAGTCTCTGGGTTATTAATGAAGTGTTTTTGTTATTCAGCACACGAGGCTACCTGTGGACGAGATGGTAGGTCGAGCCAAGGAGATGAAGGCTGGAGAGACGCTGCCCTTCCTCAAGCTGACGGTGAGTGAGAAGGGCGTCACCATCACAGAGATGCCACAGAACGTTAACAAGGACTTTCATGGAGGCTTCTACAACATTGATGTCATCAGGTGCGTCCACTTGGCATCCAAAGATAGCACGGGGCCTCTGGTGGCTCAGGGCCCTAGGTGCCTTGGTGCCTCAGATGGCTTGGTGCCCCAAGTGCCTTAGTGCTCTAAGCAGCAAAGTGCCTTAGTTACAATTGCTGAACTCATTAAATATTGTTACTCAGTTATTTTTTTTAAATATAGCTGTTGAAAACTAATATATTATTTTCTCTGTTTTGTGTATATGTGGGTGTCTATGCATGTGTTTGCGTGTGTGTATATATATTTATAATTGTGTGTGTGTATGTGGTGTCGTGTGGACGTACAGCTACGGTGTACAGGACTTGGTGTACACCCGAGTGTTCGCCATGATCGTGGTGAGGGAAGAGTCAGGGAACATCAACACTCATCATCCCTTCCAGTGTCACGCCTTCGTCTGTGACTCCAGACACAACGCTCGCAGACTCACCTTCGCCCTTGCTCAAGCCTTCCAGCAGTTCTCCAAGGAGGTACTAGCTCCTGTTATAGTTATCCAATACACTGATCCTCCACCACATTATTGATCCAATACACTGATCCTCCACCACATTATTGATCCAACACACTGATCCTCCACCACATTATTGATCCAACACACTGATCCTCCACCACATTATTGATCCAACACGCTGATCCTCCACCACATTATTGATCCAACACACTGATCCTCCACCACATTATTGATCCAACACACTGATCCTCCACCACATTATTGATCCAACACACTGATCCTCCACCATATTATTGATCCAATACACTGATCCTCCACCACATTATTGATCCAACACACTGATCCTCCACCACATTATTGATCCAATACACTGATCCTCCACCACATTATTGATCCAATACACTGATCCTCCACCACATTATTGATCCAACACACTGATCCTCCACCATATTATTGATCCAATACACTGATCCTCCACCACATTATTGATCCAACACACTGATCCTCCACCATATTATTGATCCAATACACTGATCCTCCACCACATTATTGATCCAACACACTGATCCTCCACCACATTATTGATCCAACACACTGATCCTCCACCACATTATTGATCCAACACACTGATCCTCCACCATATTATTGATCCAACACGCTGATCCTCCACCACATTATTGATCCAACACACTGATCCTCCACCACATTATTGATCCAACACACTGATCCTCCACCATATTATTGATCCAACACGCTGATCCTCCACCACATTATTGATCCAACACACTGATCCTCCACCACATTATTGATCCAACACACTGATCCTCCACCACATTATTGATCCAACACACTGATCCAACACACACTGATCCTCCACCATATTATTGATCCAACACACTGATCCTCCACCACATTATTGATCCAACACACTGATCCTCCACCACATTATTGATCCAACACACTGATCCTCCACCATATTATTGATCCAACACGCTGATCCTCCACCACATTATTGATCCAACACACTGATCCTCCACCACATTATTGATCCAACACACTGATCCTCCACCATATTATTGATCCAACACGCTGATCCTCCACCACATTATTGATCCAACACACTGATCCTCCACCACATTATTGATCCAACACACTGATCCTCCACCACATTATTGATCCAACACACTGATCCAACACACTGATCCTCCACCATATTATTGATCCAACACACTGATCCAACACACTGATCCTCCACCACATTATTGATCCAACACACTGATCCTCCACCATATTATTGATCCAACACACTGATCCTCCACCATATTATTGATCCAACACACTGATCCTCCACCATATTATTGATCCAACACACTGATCCTCCACCATATTATTGATCCAACACACTGATCCTCCACCACATTATTGATCCAACACACTGATCCTCCACCACATTATTGATCCAACACACTGATCCTCCACCACATTATTGATCCAACACACTGATCCAACACACTGATCCTCCACCACATTATTGATCCAACACACTGATCCTCCACCACATTATTGATCCAACACACTGATCCAACACACTGATCCTCCACCACATTATTGATCCAACACATTGATCCTCCACCACATTATTGATCCAACACACTGATCCTCCACCACATTATTGATCCCACACGCTGATCCTCCACCACATTATTGATCCAACACACTAATCCTCCACCACATTATTGATCCAACATGCTGATCCTCCACCACATTATTGATCCAACATGCTGATCCTCCACCACATTATTGATCCAACACACTGATCCTCCACCACAATATTGATCCAACACACTGATCCCCCGGCAGGTTAAGGGCACCAAGGCTGTTAAGAAACCCAAGAAGTTCGCTATCGACCTCCGCTCTCCGGAGGAGATCGAGGTCGACCTCAAGGAAGCAGACTCTGAGGCCTAGGAGGACGAGTACCAGCTGCCCAGGAAGACGAGTACCAGCTGCCCAGGAAGACGAGTACCAGCTGCCCAGGAAGACGAGTACCAGCTGCCCAGGAAGACGAGTACCAGTTGCCCAGGAAACTGAAGAGAAATATTAAAACAGAAGAGGTACAAACACTGGGAAAGCTAATAGAAAATGAAAAGACAGTGATTAAAGAAAATGGGAAGAGGGTGATTAAAGAAAATGGGAAGAGGGCAATTAAAGAAAATGGGAAGAGGGTGATTAAAGAAAATGGTAAGGCGGTAATTAAAGAAAATGGGAAGACTGAAGAAAATGGGAATACAATGGTTAAAGAAAATAGTAAGACAGTAAAGAAAATGGGAAGACAATGGTTGACGAAAATAGGAAGACAATGGTTAAAGAAAATGGGAAGGCAGTGTTAAAAGAAATTTGGAAGACAATGTTTAAAGAAAACGAGAACACAGGAAACTGTACGAGATGTTGGTGATGACGCAGCAAATACAGAAAATGTAAGTGAAAATGAAAAAAACTGAAATAAATTTGATGGAATTAAATAAAATTTGACAAAGTATTAAAAAAAATACAACAAAATATTTTTTATATTAATAACAAAAATAAAAAAAAAATAAATAGGCAAATAGCAATATTTTGAATAAAAATGTGTGAGGAGAAACAGCGGGTGTGAAGACGGCCGGAAGAACACACGAATACTCAGAGCATACACTGTTGTGATTAGGAGAAGCCGTGGTAGGGGAACCGAGCAAGAGAGACAGAAACCATTGAAGGTTTCTCTAAGATTCAGTACAGTAGAGACAGAACCAGTGAGGTTCTGTAAGATTCAGTGACTGGAGAAGACAGAACCAAGTGAAGGTTCTGTAAATCAGTGAAGGGAGAAGACAGAAACCAGTTGAAGGTTTCTCTAAGATTCCAGTGACCAGGTAGAAGACAGAAACCAAGTGAAGGTTTCTGTAAGATTCCAGTGACCTGGGAGAAGACAGAAACCAAGTGAAGGTTTCTGTAAGATTCCAGTGACCTGGGAGAAGACAGAAACCAAGTGAAGGTTTCTCTAAGATTCCAGTGACCTGGGAGAAGACAGAAGCCAAGTGAAGGTTTCTCTAAGATTCCAGTGACCTGGGAGAAGACAGAAACCAAGTGAAGGTTTCTCTAAGATTCCAGTGACCTAGGAGAAGACAGAAGCCAAGTGAAGGTTTCTCTAAGATTCCAGTGACCTAGGAGAAGACAGAAACCAAGTGAAGGTTTCTCTAAGATTCCAGTGACCTAGGAGAAGACAGAAACCAAGTGAAGGTTTCTCTAAGATTCCAGTGACCTAGGAGAAGACAGAAGCCAAGTGAAGGGTTTCTCTAAGATTCCAGTGACCTAGGAGAAGACAGAAACCAAGTGAAGGTTTCTCTAAGATTCCAGTGACCTGGGAGAAGACAGAAGCCAAGTGAAGGTTTCTCTAAGATTCCAGTGACCTGGGAGAAGACAGAAACCAAGTGAAGGTTTTTCTAAGATTCCAGTGACCTGGGAGAAGACAGAAACCAAGTGAAGGTTTCTCTAAGATTCCAGTGACCTAGGAGAAGACAGAAACCAAGTGAAGGTTTCTCTAAGATTCCAGTGACCTAGGAGAAGACAGAAACCAAGTGAAGGTTTCTCTAAGATTCCAGTGACCTGGGAGAAGACAGAAACCAAGTGAAGGTTTCTCTAAGATTCCAGTGACCTGGGAGAAGCATTGAACTGCAATGTAACTTACATTTCATCAGTTTTATACATTTTTTTTGAGTTATGATAAAGGATGTTTCTGTGTCACTATTAACTTTATCGTCTGTGTTTGTCAAGCAGCTCTTCATAAGTCGCTTATATCTACGTCACAATATTGTTATCAGCGCCACTACAACCACTGATCTAACATGACGTAGGTCTTGACGTAGTGTGTCAGCCAGAGAACAAAGACACCTGAAGAATACGTTGAACATCTGTCAGCCTCAGTGTTACTTGTAGCTAGAGGCACCACTGTCATCAGCACCACTGTGGTGTGTTCCGCCACCTATCATGATACATTCATAGACACACCATGGCCACCACGGTCTTCAAGAGTCAAACACCAACAGTACTTACCTTCATTAAGGTTCTACTGCGGCTCAGGATCGTAAAGGACTGGAATGAACATGCAGGTAATAAGTAACATGTGGGGAAGTGTCCTCACACCTACGGCTCCTGTTCACCTGACAGTGACACCAAGGAGCTAGTTGTGGGTGGTATCCCAGGAAAGAACACTTAAAATATACCATCGGGAATATGTCACACTCCTCGTTTTTTATTTTGTCATCCTGACTATTAATCCTCTGGGATAATAACTTTTTCCTCAGATATTTCAGAGCTTTAGATATGTCTCCAACAGAGTTTTAGACATGTCTCCAACAGAGCTTTGGACATATCTCCAACAGAGCTTCAGACATGTCTCCAACAGAACTTCAGATATGTCTCCAACAGAATTTCAGACATGTCTCCAACAGAGCTGTAGATATGTTTTCAAAGGATCCTCCTCACATCCATTCTACGTCCTCTCCGGTCATGAGTGCTGCCTCAAACAACACTTACACGGTGAAGACATCTAACCACGTCGACACAGACAACATTCGTAGCCACCACACAACCTTGTCGACACAAACAACATTCGTAGCCACCACACAACCACTTCGACACAGACAACATTCATAGCCACCACACAACCACGTCGACACAGACAACATTCGTAACCACCACACAACCACGTCGGCATTGATAACGTTCGTAGCCACCACACAACCACGTCGACACAGACAACATTCGTAACCACCACACAACCACGTCGACACAGACAGCATTCGTAACCACCACACAACCACGTCAGCATTGATAACGTTCGTAACCACCACATAACCCCTGGGAATAACAAGAGTCTCACTGCTAGGTGACTGGATGACAACAGTTCATTTCACCTAGAGGGTGACAGTAACGAGAGATAAGCACATGAGGCAAGAAATAAACGACTGGAAAGAGAATGAAGAACAAGAGTGAGGAGAAAGCGTGATGGAAGGAGCCAGGAAGGTGAGGAAGCACAGGAAGCCTCGACCTTCACAGTCACGACAGCTGGTTGCCGGGCAGGAAGTGGGTCACTGGTTATTACCTTCAGTAATAACCTGCTCCGTTACTCTCATTATGTAAAATATGTTTACCCCCTCTGAATGTTCGGTGAAGATGGGTGGTGGGGGACCAGTCAGTGGACCACGGTGAAGATGGGTGGTGGGGGACCAGTCAGTGGACCACGGTGAAGATGGGTGGTGGGGGACCAGTCAGTGGACCACAGTGAAGATGGGTGGTGGGGACCAGTCAGTAGACCACAGTGAAGATGGGTGGTGGGGACCAGTCAGTAGACCACTGTGAAGATGGGTGGTGGGGAAAAGTCTTTGGACCAGTCACTTACTCACTGTTACGATGTCTTGAAGGGAGGACCAGTCAGTTACTGTCAAGATGTGTCAAATTCCAGCCTATCACAATCTGTTGTAACACACTACACCATGTACATTCCTTCATCCATAACAACATACACTCAATACTTCAAAGTCTGTGGAGTGTCATTAATTTAACGGTGAGACAAGTTAACTGATTCTGACAGGTTCTCCTTGGCGTAACGATTAAGATAAACACTGGAAGACTGACAAACATCAGCCGACACACTGGAAGACTGACAAACATCACCTGACACACTGGAAGACTGACAAACATCACCTGACACACTGGAAGACTGACAAACATCACCTGACACACTGGAAGACTGACAAACATCAGCCGACACACTGGAAGACTAACAAACATCAGCCGACACACTGGAAGACTGACAAACATCACCTGACACACTGGAAGACTGACAAACATCAGCCGACACACTGGAAGACTGACAGACATCACCTGACACACTGGAAGACTGACACACATCACCTGACACACTGGAAGACTGACAAACATCACCTGACACACTGGAAGACTGACAGACGTCACCTGACACACTGGAAGACTGACAAACATCACCTGACACACTGGAAGACTGACAGACATCACCTGACACACTGGAAGACTGACAGACATCACCTGACACACTGGAAGACTGACAGACATCACCTGACACACTGGAAGACTGACAAACATCACCTGACACACTGGAAGACTGACAGACATCACCTGACACACTGGAAGACTGACAGACATCACCTGACACACTGGAAGACTGACAAACATCAGATGACACACTGGAAGACTGACAAACATCAGATGACACAGGAGAAACAGATATTAGACCATACACTGAGGAACTGGAATAATAAGAGAGTAATAACGGTATGTTTACATTGCAGAGAGGTGAACGCAAGCTCCTCCTCAGGTACGACACTGTTTCTCTCACTTATCACAAAATATTAAAACAAAAATAAAGTCCATATTAAAAAAAATATTTGTACATACATAATTTTTTAAATATATGTAAATATAGTTTTAGTCTACAAATTACATGTACAATGATAATAAAAATGATTGACCTGAGATTAGTAGTCTTTCTTTAACATCTAAATTATATATATATATATATATATATATATATATATATATATATATATATATATATATATATATATATATATATATATATATATATATATATATATATATGCAATAAGATCACAATAAACAGGTGATATTACAATATCCAGGACAACCACTGTGAATAAATAATGAATTCCAAGTGCTGTCGTGATTCCTCACATTATCAACGAACTGTTAAAGTAACTGGTCAACAAAAGGCTTATTAGACTGTCAAACCACGAAATGGGTGTTGTTTGAACCCAGGGCGAGTGAGTCGTGTAACCTGACACTGGACCGCACGCCGAGCTTGGCAGTGAACAGTTTTGATATGTCACATGTCAGGTATAGTTTATGAGTGACACGTCAAGTACAGTTTATGAGTGAAATGTCAGGCATTGCTTAAATTCCTCACAAATTTTATTAATTATCTTTGAATCTAATTTATATAACCCTGATCTAATATTCACATCAAAATCAGTGTTCATATTAAAATCACACCCAGGCGCTGTAGGAAAATAATAATAATAAT